GTTTCAAATTTAAACTTAAAGACTACTTTCTGGAACAATGTTCGTATTCATGACACAGCTTTCATCGTACCTTATATATGTATGTATATATGTAGTGTATATTTTATGTATTATATATATCTATTTTTGTTATTTATTATATATATATTTTTTTTCCAACCGTAATATAATTTAACTGCACTTCTATCACCCGCTTACATCTTACTCTCCCACGACTCCTAGGTTGGCTGGAAGAGATCTCTTCTAGAGATAAGCCCACCAAGCCAACAAATTTATTTACTTGTTTTATGTAAAATTTTAAGTGCAATAAAGAGTATAATAAAGAATTGCGAACCTCAAGAGCCAGTGGGCAGGGTACATCGCTCGCAGAACTGTCGGCCGTTGGGGCGGTAAGGTCCTGGAGTGGCGACCGCGTACCGGGAGACGTAGTGTTGGTAGGCCCACCACAAGGTAGACCGACGATCTGGTGAATGTCGCGGGAAGCCGCTGGATGCGGGAGGCGCAGGACCGATCGCTTTGGAGATCTTTGGGGGAGGCCTATGCCCAGCAGTGGGGGTCTCTCGGCTGAATTGATGATGCCGAAGATGATACTTATTCAGCAAATATATGAAGAGTTAATACGAAGGTTCCAAAGAAAACTGTGCTATATTTTATTTTTAAGCTGGAGACTGCAAAAGGGAATTTGGACGAGTATACGCAAGGTAATCACCGGAACCGCGCTGCCTATTTGGAAAAAAATCTTTTACTTATTCAATCAAAGCTGAATTATAATCAATAGCAATGGCGGATTATCCTCAATACCATAAAGAAAAATAGGCACGTGCCTAGAAATACGTGCCTAAAAGCAGGATAAAGACTTGCGGAAGTTAAAATGAAAAAAAGGAGGTAGGTATCTACCTATTTGCCACGGTCGCCTATTAGAGATAAACGTAACGTATCCTACCCTTTATTTGTAATATTGTTTTAATAATTAATTCTACTTACCACATAAGTATTTGTACGTTGATAATGATAGTGACACAATGCAAAAAATCCGATTTTGAGTAATGAGCGTTTAAAGTTCAACAAATTGTAATCAGCCCCTCTAAAAAACGTATCGCCACTACGCCACCTAGCAGTTTCTATGCAAGCTACGTTCACAGGTTAAAGTTTATACTTAACAAAGAAAAATGTTGCCAAAAGTAAAAATACATCGTTTTTGGTTAGTGACATTCTCAAGGGGTGAATTAAAAGTCGTTCTAGATCTTATTACACTTCGTAGGCATCTTAGAATATTATTTCTGATTAAAGAAAGACTATTTTTTGGTTATGGTAAATCATTTTGATTCTCTCTTTTTTTAACCTTGACTAATATAGGAGATAAAAACGGGCAAAAAAACCGTTTGATGTATGGGAGCCCACCTGAAATATTTATTTTAGTCTGGTTTTTAGTATTTGTTTTTGAAGCGACGACAGAAATACATCTGTGAAAATTTCAATTGTCTAACTTTCGTGGTTCATGAGATACAGCTTGGTGACAGACGGATAGACAGACAGTGAAATGAAGTGAATTGTGACATGTGATGAAAATTGGATTCTCACCCCAGGCCAAACGCCACAACAGTGTCTTAAAGCAAAACTTACCAATAAAAAGGTAATGGTAACTGTTTGGTGGTCTCAGCATGGTGTTATTCACTATAGTTTTCTCCGATCTAGTCAAGCAATAACGGTAGATGTCTATTGTGCGAACTCCGAGCAATGTTGGCAAAACTAGCAGTAAAACAGCCCCGACTCATGAATCGATCTTCACCATTATTGCTCCATGACAAGGCGAGACCTCATACAGCACGAGAAACCGTTTCGACCCTTCAGAAACTGCAGTTAGAAACCATTTGTCATCCTCCGTATTCGCCAGACCTTGCCCCAATGGAATACCATTTTTTTCGTGATTTAGACAATTATCTTCGTGACAAGAAGTTTTCTTCCCAGGAGACAGTACAAAATGCTTCACACAGTTTGTACAGTCTAGATCCTCAGAATTCTATCGCAATGGCATGAATGACCTTCCTATTAGATGGCAGAAATGTATAGATAATTTTGATTTTCAATACAAATCGGCAATTTCATACTTTAACCCCTATTATATTAATTTAACGATACTAAACCATAGGTTAAAAATGCGTACTGATAACAATTTTTTGTAGTATATCAAGAAACAAGAACATTAGCAAATCTCATTATCTTTCTCACCTATCGATAAAAAATACAAAGTATTCATTAATCATAGTCATTAATTACGTGAACGATAATAATACGTGATATGTGGCAGATATACATTTTTTTAATGACATTATTATTTAAACAAGTCATTCTAAAGAAGAAATGAAAGACTTTTTTGTTTTCGGTTTAAAAATAAAACAACTCTGCTAACTGACATCACAGGTCATAGTTATCATTGCTTTAAACTTAAATAGGTTTAGCCACTGCTAAGCTTAATAATGAAGCACCATTTTATTAAAAATACGGCGTTGGACGAAGCATTAAAGTTTTAACTGTGAATGAAATAAAACCTACACTGAAGGGTAATAAAAGGTTTATTTCATTGAATTATTTAGACTGTGACAGCGTTGCGTTTCATACTTTATTTTTATATTAAAATATATGTAGAGTTATTTATTTTTATAAGCTTGTGAGTAGCTCAATGGCATCGTGGATAAGCGCCGCCGTGAACGTTGTTGTTAAGTAACGTAAGATAAGGATCGGTCACGGGATGAGGGAACCAAAAAATTTTTTATGTCGAACTACTCCGTGCTTCGGAAAGTACGTGAAGCTGTTGGTTCCGGCTGCATTTTCAGTCCTTAATACTCCCCGCACCGCATTGTGCCAGCGTGGAAGGTCATGGCCTGCAGTGGGAGGTAAAAGAGCTGTTGGTGATTAAAAAAAAAAATAATTTAAAGCATTTATTCATCTCAATCATGTTCCGCACTTACACCCGATCAATAACCTAGAACAAACCATAGCTTAACTAGGAAACGCCTAATCTTACGAATCTCTTAAGCGAATTAGTTTAGTTCGAAATAATATTTATTTTATCCTTTGACACATTTCTGACCTGCTGCTGAACGCTGTATTATAAATGCCTACCGCAAGGCGCCGCAAAAGGAATGCCATAACTTTAGACATTGTTTAATATCGTTAGGAGGTTTCTAGTCATTGATTAAATGTATTATCACCTTATGTAGACGATCCTTAAATATTAAGGCGATATATTTGGGCGACTCCTAAATTTGCTGAAAAACTATATCAACATAATGCGCGCTCTACACAATGGCCACCATTGTGGAGAATGTTATGCCAAAAATATATTGTGATAGCGTCCACGCAATGAAATGCTTTTAGATTTTTTTCAGATCTGTTTTGTTATTAAATATTATCGTCACATATGTTGCTTAATTTCTTGTCATTTCGTATGTTGATTGCAGACAAACAGTATTGTCTTAGGTATATTTCAATGTTGCTTCAAATTGCTATAGAAACAATTTAACGAATAAAACTGTAATGAATAACAACAAAATAGTCCACCTTTATAACAATACTTAACATTAACAGAAACCGTTTCGATTGTTATTATTTTGCATTTATCATTGACTCTGGTTCAGAACCCTCCATGCGCGAGTCCGACTCAAACTCCCTATCTTAGCAGTGTTACAAGCTAGCAGATAATAATATAATAAGAGCTATTATCGAAATAATTTGAGAGACTAGTACAACAAATTCGATTATGCAGGTCAATGCAATATTATCGTTTCTTATCGTCTTTATAAAACAGATTTAAAGCTGCAATGAACTAGCTGTCAATATTAATGTGGGTTAAACAGTTTACAAGACAATTGTAGGTGAACATCTTCATAATGAACATTAGGATTTGATTTCTACACACTATCTGTACAAAGTTCAGTTTTTAGTTTGTAGGTACTCATAATATAAAATTCGAATAAATTGGCTATGAATAGACAGACCACCTTTCAGAATATCAAGGCAAGACCGATGGAAATTGCAAAAAGACGGTACTTAACGGACGGTGATTCATTGGGTTCAAATGAATATAAAGAAATTTTTATATACTTGTACATACTTTCTAACTTAGGCAATCAATGAAGAGCAAAAAAAAAATGAATATAAGCTTTTACTATTTAAAGTGAACAGCCACTGTGTTCGCATGGACACACGGTACGCAATTTTACCCAGCTTTATATGAATTTGCACATCGACGCATTATATGAACAAAAAGAACTCAACGCAAAAATAACATCACGCAGATTACTATCATAGAACAACTATTCATTTCTTTGCAGCGTCATGTTAAAACTGTTAAATAGTACTTCTATTATAAAACGACGAACGTCTTTGGCAAATTCTTACGAAACGTCGCTTACCGTGCATCCGTTGCGTGCGTGCGGATACAGTGGACGCTCATATTAAAACACGAATTTTCTGCAATAGTTGTTCAGATGAAAGACATGCTCCACAATGCATAAAATTCTCGCGCCCAGGTTTACTGTCAGGTTGTTACTGTAATAATGGCTCTTAAACTAGTGAATATCTAAAGAAAACATATGCTACGATATTTCTTTATTCGATTGAGTATTTTTACCTTCAGTTTCAAGGTTTCCCGTACATACCTTCGTTAATACTATTAAAGTTTAAGTTTTTGCAATAACAATCAAGGTTATTTAATTATTCTCTATTAGAACCTAAAAGTGACATAGCAGTCATTGACGTGAAGAAATTATCATATCACCTCTTCCTCTAGGCATCTCTTTTATAAAATCATTAAATTGACATAATTCGCGATAAGTAGTTGCTAACATCAAAACCGTAGTCTTAATCGCCAAAGACATCACTCTCATTGCCCTGCCCTAGCTAAAGATAAGATTGAATTTAAATTTGAAACAAAAAACAAAATCCATAATAATTAACCCCCGTTGGTTTTATCATTAATTATATATTAACGATATTGTTATCACTTAAAGTATTTCGCGTGTCTTAAGAAAGTCGACGTATATTAGTGTGATTGTGAGAACACAGAGGACGTGTGTGAATCAGTGATGTCAAATATAAAGTAAATATTATATTAATCGTCAACAAAGACTCAAATAGATTTACTGTGTTCAGTATTTCTTAGTTTATAGATATTAACAAAGTAGGTATTGATCCGTTGCTTTCTTTAAAAACATGTTTACTTGTAATAATATCCTTCATGTATAGTCAACGGCGCGCCAGGTTACACAAATCTATCAAATTTCTCCACTTGATTTCAAGATTTAATGCTCTGGAAGTAGAGCTTAAAATAAATTACAAAAATTTTACTCATTATGGTAACCTGACGGGCAGTCGTGTGGATATTCATTTTATTTAGAAATCTATTATTGATTCTTATGAGTCTTAAAGTAACTACTTTATAGAAATTAAAATAAAAAGTTTAAAGTTACGTAATGGAAAATCAGAATTATTATAAAATCTAACAAAGTCGCTTAGTTATTCAAGGTATAGTTGATTATTTTTTAGAATGACTGTGGAAGCGAGAAAACGCCATATAAATGGCGAGTCAAGTAAAAACGGTGTTCTGGAAGAGACAACCGATGCGACAGAACAAAATTCAAAATACTGGGACCCGTTAACGGAAGGGGTAAAGTGGATAGAAAGATACTCTGAACCTTTAGAGAAGTTCTTTGAGAGACTGCCAGAATTTATTAGCACTTTCATTGCTACATTTGCTATATTTACTTTAGGTGCTACATTAAGGGGTAAGTTTTTCATAAGATTTAATTCTTAAGATTTTGTTAAACCAAACCATAGATAACAATATCCACGATTTTTTTAAAAGAAATATGCTGTCTTTGTACAAATAATAACATACAAAAAAGAAAACAAATTGAAACTTAAACTAAAAACTTCTTAAAAAAACATAGTAGACAAATTATTTAAACCAACTTTTTTTGGACCATAAATTTTGTATAGAGGCATTCCTGCAGGTATTATTTAATTATAAAGATCTCATGGCCACCTTTCAGTTCTGACCAAAGTAATTAAAATAATATGACACCCGATAAATATCGCAAGTCCCATACTACGTTCTGGCTCTAAATTAGTTCCGTTCGTCCGTTAATAATACTATTTCATTTTCATCCAAGTTATATTCTCGAAAGTAGACATACAAATTTTCAACCCGATCAAATACCAGGAAATACATTACCTAATACTTTTAAGATTTGGCCCGTACTAAGAAACTGAAATGAAAGCTTGCAATAAAAGTCATTTTATAAAAAAAAGACTATTGTCATATCACCACCAGCCTACTAATATCCTCATTGCCGGGACTCAGGCTTTCTATGGACGGGATCGAAGAGGGAGTCATTTATGTCGTACGAACATAAATGATTTTACGATACATTTCTTGGTCATCACATAAGCTGATGGAAAAATAGGGACTATTATGATCTTCTCTTAGTAGTTTACTTAATTGTTCTTATTCCTTTTTTAGTATAAACGTATCAGTCTAAAACAACAATATTTAGTTAGTAAGTGTTAAAAGAAAGAGTAAAAACGCGATTAATACTTATTAGTCCTTAAGTATTAGACATATTTTTTAAATATAAATGCCATAAAAATTAAGAAAATACACGATTCTAAGTATCATACAGAATTATGTTAATACAGTATCAATCTTAATTTGATTTACTACCCTCACAAAAATTTTGCATTATAACTCCACCAAATTTTATGGAAACAAATGAACCTGTGAATATGACGTCGGTAAGAAGATTTAGATATGAGACAACATAACGTATCTATATAATTATAAGATCAATATCGTAAATTAATTTACATGATGTCCTTTGTGATTGAATATCAAATGACTGATTATTATTATCCGTGATAATACGTAGATAGAATGTAGGTATTTCTCGTAGGTTAACAGAAGTCAAATACTTATAAAGAAATTAATTATTTACTAGTTAAATTACTAGTCACTAGGAATAGTTATAACAAATATCTTAAGTCACTAAGATAAGTAAGACTAAGATTTTTATCTGCAGTTGATTAAAATTTATTTTTTGAAATTTTAAGAAAACGAATAAACAAGTTATGACACAAAAAATATAGGAAACAAAAGTTTAAATTAAATTTTAATTTATAACTACATAATCTATATCAATATCATAAAGAGGTAGAAGAAGAGAGGAGGAGAATTTGAATGTTTGTTTCTTGCGTTGGTTAAGCTACGAAACAAGTGGACCTATTTTTTTTTATTTCTTTCACCCACAGGAAGCTACATCATATGCAGATGTAGATTATAATTCAAACATCTAGTAATTTTATATTTCTAGGTCAATTGGGCCAAAACGTGAATCTATAAAATTAACTTTATCAAAACAGGTTATTTTACAAATAAATAATTCTGTTAGATTCTTTAACCAACTTTTCTTTGAACATGTCACCAACGGGAAGTGCTACGGGTGCTGTTTTATTACAAAAAAGTTAGAGTTGGTGACTAGTGATTTCATATAGCTTGCCTAAAAACAATAATACTCTATCAGTCGTAAGATTGTGTATATTCTCTGGAAACAGCGCTTACAGGAAAGTGACCGAATATGAAATGTAAACCCTTATATGGAAGAAATATTGAAAATGAATAATTCCTAATGAGGGAAAATTTATAAATTGTTAATAATTCCAGGAAATTCGTAAGCGGTTTACAAATTTGCTTGGCACATTTTAAAACAAATCAATTATTTATATGAATAATTATAAACCTATTTCAGTATGACATTTTAGGTATAGTATATAACGGCGGGTAGTCCGAATGGGCTATTACGAAGCCCAAATAGATGGTCCATATCGGAGGACTATCTTTAAAATAACACTGCAGGCGTGGTATACCAACGTGGATTTGTTCCATTTATCACTTTTCATACGAAAATATAACGAGATGAGCGTGATGTCATCAGATGTCTTTACTCCTCGGCGATCCGAAACAGAATGTGTGCCAAAATGGCGGCAACTTGGTTTTTATAAACGAACTGTCAAAGTCAGTGTCACCATTCTAATAAAATTAAAAGTATCGATGATCACGCTCTCTTTACAATCGAGTAATTAAGTAATCTAGTAACTAGCAATTAAAATAAAAGAAACTAAATCAAACGATCTTCGTAATGATGATGCGACATATACATTTTAGGTATATATAGTATAGTATAGTATGACATTGACATATCAGTATGACACTTATTACATACTAATTGTTTTAATCCATGTTATAAAGCAAAATTGATGATAAATATGAATCGGTTTTATATATAGGAAATACATGTTTTACCGGTTTGCCCAAATACGAGTAGTTATTCTGCCCTGAAAAGAACTCCATTCACCCAACTATTCAATCTGATTTAGGCTCATAGATAACGTGACATTATGAAACGTGTAGCAAGTGACACTCGTGAGACATTAAATAAATTATTGATTACTTAAATATGATAATTGTTGCCAGATTAATAGATAAATTGTTAACCTAACAATATTCAGTAGTGCGTGACCGCTTTAGAGTAAATAGTTAATCAACCATACATGTCATAAGCTTGCCTAACAAACACGTGTTTCTCATAATAATTTTGAGTACCACGTTAATAAAATTAAGTGGTTTCTGATTATTAAGTACTTATCTAATTTCCAATAAATCCGCACGTGAGAGTGATAATAAAAAACATTTTCTTAGTATAAATATCTGTTTTGATTTCATATTATATGAATTCATTATTTATACTATGATTTTTGTTATACATTATATATTTTATTTTTTTCTAACATTGTATTAAACGTGAACATAAGTTAGCACTAACGCACCGGGCTGCACGACACACAACGGACTACATTAAAAATTTATATTACGTCATTAGCATAATTCCCACGTCGAAACTGACAGTCGCATTTATTATAGAAGCGTCAATGAAAAATGCAATGGACGTATGATATTTTCACATCCTTGCAATGCGTTGCGTGTCATGCGGCCGGAGCGAGCTTGTTGACGCAGTGAACGAACACGTTTAGGTTTCAAATAAATAAAACCTTAAGAACCTTTTAAAGTAGGTTTTATTTATTTAAACTTCTAATTTTATGACAGCGTTGTGTTCAATGTTTGGCAACGCTATCTCTTTATAGAATAGCAAAGCTTAACCACATAAGATATGATCTTAACGTTTGTCTTTCGCTGCCTAGACATTCATAATTATTTTCACATGTCGCCGTTTTAAACCTAACAACGTGAAAGGAATGTCAAGACAAACCTTAAAGGTACCCTATATTCATAAATATCTTCATAAGTTTAAATTTCATGTCTTGACCTGTTTAAGTAATGATTATGTGAACGAGCTTAATTTGACAATATTTTGTACCGTCTAAAATAATGTAATATTGTTAAAGGCTACACAAATACATGTAGCTAACTATATCTGTCGCAAAATGGATGTGTAAATATAGAGCAGACACCATTTATAGTAGTGCGCATACCATATGGCATGCATTTAATGAAAAATCAACGTTCACAGACAGATACTATATAATATAAATATAAATAATATCACACCTAACTTTAAACTGAGTTTACAGAATCATCAATACTCCAGAGTCAATTTTACCCTTAGAGGTTGTCACAATTAATCATCACTTACTTTAAACATTTACTAAGTTTCTTATTTATTAAAAGAGGGGTTGCAAAGCCCAAATACTTTTCCTGCCTATATCTGTTACAATTGGTGTATAAGTACTGCATAATTCCCTCGGCTAAATATTGAGTCGCATATAAATAAATTTTCCTAAAAAAAGGGTATAATTAAATAACAAATGGTAAAAATGTTGAATTGTGTAACTTTATGATTTTTATCGAGATAATTTTATAAATTCATATTCTGGATGTTACTTTTTTTTGTGCGAAGTTGCTAACTGAAAGTTAATGATGTTGGATGTAGAACCCGTCTTATAAAAATTGTTTTTGTTACAGGAGAATGGGTGGTAATTCTTGTATCGGCGTTGAAGCAGTTCTCAGGTCACACACAAAGCAGCAATGCTACTGCGACGGATATATTCAAGCTGTTTACTGAACGGAATCTTAAAATGGAGAATTTTGCTACCATATTTATCGCCGCTCACTTTGTTTCATTCATTATGTATTTTGGTATCGGTGGATTTCTACATGTAAGTATAATTATATTAACAAATTGTAATAACAATATTATACATTTGGTTATTGATTCGGTAGGCGTATTCGGTATGTGATATGGTTCTTAAGCAACTTTCACGTTCATAGTAGTTCCTCCGTACTTTAGAAGGCACGTTAGGTTTTTGGTCACGGCTACATCTGCGGTCGTTAATACCCACTATTCCGCACTAGGCTATGACCTCATCACTATGGCCTCATCAGTGGGATTGTCTAATGAAGATGAAAAATAATATTCTATCATAGAAATAAATAAATATAGCATTTATATAAGCTCACATCCCAAAATAAGAAGGCAAAGCACTTGTATTATAGAAATTTAAACAACGAAGTTAACACAGGCAGAAAAATAATTTTCTTTATTGACTCGACTGAGATCGAACGCGAAATATTACAGATGCTGACAGCATAAATTTTATATTAAAGATTTATTTATAATGTGCCAAATATTAACAAGGTCTTTTCGAATAGTCTCGAGGGAAGCGAAAGTAGAAAGTATTAAAAAAAGCCGTTTCTGCCTTAAAGTAAAAAGAAACAATCGTGTGGATATACAATATCAAATTAATCTACGATTCTTCATTATTATATGACTAAAATTTTCGCTATTCTATGTTTTTATATTTTTTTTTATTTCCATTGCAGTGGTACTTTTATATGAATCGTCGACACCTTGCGCCTGAATGGAAGATTCAACCTACCAAATGGCTCAGCCCTGAGCTGGAACGGCACGAGATATTGGTCGGGACTCTCTCCCTCGTCATTACTGGCAGCTTCTCCGCTTTCCTTGCCACTTACATTTACAATGGCAACCCCTCAACTGTGTACTACCAATTCGACGAGTACGGTTGGTGGTGGTTGTTCTTGCAATTCCCAGTAATCTTCATTTATGCTGTAAGTCAATATCAATTGATGATTAGAATTCATTTCTTTGAAAGTTAATTGTGTGACAACTTTTCTATCACGTTATTTGTATGAATAATTACATTATTATTTTGTATTAATAACAATAATAATGTTTTTTCATTAGTTCATTTCTTTTATTCTTTAAATTTTCTCTTTTCCTCAGGATTACACGACTTACATTCTTCATCGATTGTATCACACGCCCTTTTTATATAAGAATTTCCACAAACTCCATCACAAGTACAAGCAGCCGACTGCCTTCTCCGTCACCGCCATACATCCTGTAGAAATCATGCACATACAACTGACGATTTGTCTTCCACTGTTCCTGTTTCCAACCCACTGGTGTGAGTACTTTTAAAACTTCCATATCCAACGTGAAATGGCCTTTTTCAATATTTCCTTATTTATCAGGTAGTAGGATTAAACGGTCACGGTTGTTAGTAATTTTGAACTGAAACAGGTAGAAATTTAATTTTAATCTCACATAGAATTTCTATTAGATGAAAATGAATTTTTTTTTGGCGGAGTTTCTTACTTTAAGCACTGTTAATAGAACTTCAATACCATACCAAAGAGTTAAATATTACCACAATTAATTGTGGTCCTTATTAAGGTATTATTATGTTTTTCATTGAAATGTAACTTAATATTTTTATTCATATTTTGTTTTGGTTTTTCATAGCTTTTTTTCTATAGAAGTTTTTATTGATTTCAAAATATACATTTTAAATATTGTATAACCATTTTGTTTCAGTACCTTTCTACATTGTGGTAATTTATAATTACTATCATGGTATCATCGACCATTCGGGTATTAACTTTAAGGCTCAATGGTGGCAGCCTTGGCAGCCCGACGCAGACTTCCATGACAAGCACCACGAATTCTTCCATTGCAACTTCGGATTCAATATGTTTATTTGGGATAAAGTGAGTATCTATAGTTGATATTATCCAAAATTTTTCAACTTCATTCAATCATCCTCTTTTAATGTAAGTTCTCAGCTATACGTTGTGCTATTTTTTATTCTATTGGATCGAAATTGTGTTACCTTTTTTTATTCAATAACAGAAAGAAGAATATTTTTTGTCTTTTAAAGAGTTGCTTCACTGTCGGGTGAATAATTAAGTCGCTAATCAAAATAAATAGTGGCGTTTTAGAGACACATATCATCTAGTAAAAATAACTTAATTTTGAACTTGTTAAAACTCTTTATTTCACCTTAAATATTTATATAAAAGTAAGTTATTTTTTTAGCTTCATGGAACGATGAGAAAATTAAACAGGGTTTACACCGAGGAAACATATCACGGGGAAGCACCAGACGTTGATTCAGCTGAAGGAATAGCTTTGATGGATCAGGACCCTGAATTGAAAGAATCCATTGAAAAGGCTACTCTAAATCACTCTTAAGAGTGAAAAAAATTGAATCCTCGATTTTTTGTGATTAGTTTAATTTAAATAATTATTGATTATCTGTTATAGGCAGTATTTATTTGAAATTAACTATATAGAAAAATGACAGTATATTTATGTAGCACTTAAATTGGGAAATGTCGTGATTTCTGTTAGAGTATTAGATTAGTCAAGTGCTTATATTAAGTATACATAGAAAATGCAAAAGCTTTAAGTTGAAAAGTACTTACTAATAATATCACTATATTGATAAAAAATGCATTATAATCTGTTGTATGGTTTAATAGATCTCAATGTGCAGACAGCAGGAAGTGAAATGGTTTTATACTATGTATAGAGAGATAACACAATCGAAGTTAGTAAACAATGGACCTTGCTTGAAAGTAATAAAGTTTTGAAGGATTACTTGATTTTACACTTACAACCTATGATAGTTATTGCCATGTATGTAACTAATATTAGTACATAAAATATGCTAAAAGTGTATAGTGATATCTATCTTTAAATGATATTCGGTAAATTGGGTAACTGCGATTATCTATCTCTATATAGCAGTAATAAATCTAGTACAGTAGAATCCCGATTAACCCGATTCCGATTATTATTAAAACAAGGGGTATTTTATATAATCGAAAATCAGGATAATCGATTTCAACGTAAAATCAATTAATTTTGAAAATTTAACCATTTTTTATTATGATAATTAGATTTCATTCATCGTCGCTTAGATACAATAGGTATATAAAAAAACAAGCTACATCGATAATGAATTCAATAAATACCTATATAATTTATAATTTTAATTGGAAATAACAAGTTATTGATCTAGTATTTTGTAATTGTAATTGCTTTGATGTAATAAATATCATCCTTGATGCGCTTCAGTTGTAACTTATGTATGGGACACGATTCATCGTCTCTTTTAAAGTAACATCAAGAGATTCAATTCTATTGCATGAAATAGTATAAGTTTGTGCCAAAAAGGCAGTCTTTTTACTTAAGCACTTAAACGCAATCGAAAAAATTAAATGACAAAAACACTATATGGCAAATAAATGAGAGCTGGAGTGCAATTCTGTAAAAATTCCGAATTCACGTCATTTAGCGTAGAAATTCTATTGGTTCCATTTGTGTATAAAAATACAAAATAAGATTGATTCATACGTGTCTCAAATATTCTATTCCTTTGTCATTTCAAAACTCACTTCACTTATCCACGAAACCTTATAACCAATTCAAGGTTGAGCGGATGCCGCTTTTGAAGTGAACTCGATTTCGGGTTCGGATTTGTACAGAATTGCAGGACCTAAGTACACAATCGGATCGGAGGATCACAACCACGGTCGGAGACAGGAATAAACATTTCATAACGTGTCTCGTTGCATCGTGATTTTTTTTTAAGTTGACAATTAAAGCTGAGATGAATGAGTTCGGATAATCGGAAGGCCGGATAATCGAAGTTCGGATAATCGAGATTCTACTGTAATATTGTAAATTTGCGGTTGCTTTTTACTTATAGCTGTTGAAATATTTGCTGTTATTTACCCCTTAAGTACTCAGCTCTGATGTGTGATATCTTTGTTTCTTCGATTAATTTCTATGTTTAAATTAGAAGTAATCATAAAATTTTCACTTAAAACAAGAATTAAATTATTTGGAAATGTGGTTTATAAGTAATTCTTTATTGACAATACTATTTCAACATGGTGGCACATAAAAATTTGATTTTGTGAATGACACACATTCACATAATTATTCTTTCTTGAACTTGAATGAGGGACTCAAAAGAAATCTGTAAGATTCGTTATTCGCATCAAATCCATCGTACGATAGTATTTTTTTTTTTCTAGAATAAGCTATTAGACATTTACAAGTACTTACGAGCTTCTATAAGGCCTTCTACATTAACTGATTAATCACGATGCGAGATACAAGACGAGTCTATTCTAGTGCAGAGCTTAGGCTGCTTTCTTTTCATTGAATGATTCCTTAAATTAAATTTTGATTACCGATATAGTTACTTCCCTAGGGTGCATGCATAAAATATCTAATTTGCAATGGTACGCGTTTAGGAGAAAAGAGTTTGAGCATATGTTTGCACGGTACAATGAAATCTCCTAATTTGTTTGAAGATCTTAACAGGCTGAAGACAGAGTCATGGATATGACAAAATTATAAGAATTTCTTGACGAATTCTGAACCTTAAAACGGTTGTAAAGAGTAATCGACATAAAATAAAACTTCATTGCATAATAATTTGAAAACTTTTTCCAGAAGAGTGAAGTACGTGTAGTTCTTGTTAGACAACTAAGAAATATGAAACTTCAAATTCCTGTGAAAACTACCAAGGAGAAAACCTCGCGAAAAGGAAAACTACGACTGAATAAATTATAAACGAGAGTACCGCAGTACTTATAAGTTCTTAAAGCATTCCTCGTTTGCATATGTTAAGACAGTAGGCATGAGTTTCCACCAAAACCAGGTTATTTTGATTATAGTAAGCAAAAACTTAGGTCTCATTAATAACTATAAATAGGTAGTATTTATAATTTCAAAAAATTAAATTCTTAAACCGATTATTTTTATTAATATACTAGCTGTCTTCGCCACTTCATTCGCATAGAAAGTAGCCTAAGTTACTCCTTATTACATAATCTATCTGCAAATGAGTCCCGTCAAAATCAGTCCAGCCATTTCAGAGATTAGCCGGAACTGTTATTTTGGTATATATACCATTTACATGTTACTGTAAAAGACGAAGAACAACAAATCTTAAGGTTTCCCTGTAAATCCTAAGATTTACCAGCATGAGTTGGTAAATGTCCTAATTTTATAAATACTACTACTAATAATAACCACTGACAAATTTTTTTTTCGACGTACACTTTAGAAATATTTAATTTGTCATTTATTTTATTGAGTTTAAAAATAAAAGAATGCTATTGACGTAAAAGTAAGGGAAGGAATAGGCAAATAGTAAAAAACTTACCATTTAAATACATTGTTTGTTTAAATTTTGTACAAAATTTAAAGTATAGGCATGTAACTTAAAACTGTTATTCAGAAAAAATTTAATATATTTTCAAAACAATACTTAAAGATATTTAAATATCAATATTAACTTATCATCAGATTACACACATTGACAGTAATAATTCCTAATAGTAATTATCGTCGTAAGCTTACAGAGATAGCAGATTTTTTTATAATATTTTATCAACAGCTGTACAATATGATTAATATATCAGCATATTCATTAACTTTATCAATTTAATAGGAATATTCCTAGCTTTGTTATATAAAATTGGTAAAAGTCAAATTGGGTTTAAATTTATAAGGTGTGGATATATTTTTATTTACCAGAAATAATATATTTTAGACAACATCAAATACATTTCTCAGATTCCAAGATAAATAGTTAAAGCCCTTATATTGTTGCGTTTTGAAATATGAAGATACCACAATACGCAGACCCGAGACAAAATAGAAAAGTTCATTCTTTATATTGAACCAATCCAGAATCGATCTCAGGAACTCTGAGATGGTGATAATATAAAGCCAGCGTACCAGCCACTCGGCTGTCTGGCTAAATTATATTTTGTTGATTTTCTATCGAATAATTTTACAATTTCCTTTTCAACAGGAAAAACAGATGGGTTTTACAGTCATTGACAAACACTCGCCATTATTTTTCAACAAAAAAACACAGTTTGTTTAAAAATAAGATTTGTGTCGAATTCTCTCATCAGAAATAAAAAGTATCTCGAAGTCTCTGAAACAAAGACATCCTTATTACGTCACGCGATTGTTTCAGCTGAGCATTGTCGTCAAGAGACATTTTGTTCGTCTTTTTATTTTTCACTTTTATCGATGGGTAATCTTATCTAGGACTATAATGAAGAAAATATGTCTTTGTTTAGTTGCGTAAATATTATTGCGATTTGGATTTACAACTATATCTCTGATAGGCTGGGTTAATGTAAGCGAGTGTGAGGTGAACTAGGTAGGCCTCCGAAATTGTGAATCATATGGGGTTCTATCTAAAGTTTTTTTCTAAGCCACTTATTTAATGTTTTTTCAAAGCCAACCTATATATAGTTTTATGTTTGATAAATTTGCATTAATCTACACACATTCGTTTTTCGTGGTCGGTATAGATTTACTTTGGTCAATGCAAATTTTGCTGCACGTCTTCGTCCCAGTAAGGCTTGAAATTTTGAAAATCTTAAAACGTCTTTCTTATATTGTAACCAAGTAGCTGAAACCAATATTTATTAATTTTGCTTAAAAACTGATCACTGTCCTTTTAATGAACGAATGTAGTGTTGTATATTGTATTGTCAATGAAGACCTTTAATTCTCACCTCGATTAAAAGGTAGGCAAAAGTAGGTATGGCATAAAATTTAATCTTTTTTATCCTTGTAGTTAGACTATGCATATATATTTCAGTAAATTAACCGGTAGTTTTTTTTTAAATATTCTTAGAGTCAGTCAATCGCGAGTTCAGTAAATTAACCGGTAGTTTTTTTTAATATATTCTTAGAGTAGTCAAATTAAATTTTTCTTTCTCGTAGAATATAAAATGAAAACTAAAATTGTGACGTATTTGGATTGTAACATTGAAAATTATTTCTTCTTCTTTATTATATTTGGTCAATTTTGCATTCATAATGCTATTCTGAAAAATATTCTTAATGAAAAATGCTTAAAAATTCACTTTGTCCCTGGCAATCTGAGATGGGACTCGAATACATGACCTTTTGTAATCTAATTGGATTTCGCTTGAGTTTGCCTTTTCTTAGGCATTAGTTTATGAAATGGTTAGGTAATTTTTTCAGCAATTGGAAACCTCTTAAGGAAGTACAAAATGCTCTCAATAAGTTCCTCAGCACTGTCCAAAAGTTAGAATTGTGTCAATACAAGAGTTCAACATAAAGTTTCCTCTTCGTTTGTTCGAAGTGCCTCTAAGTGTATTTATGAACGAATTTTGCGAGATTCAGAGCTGAAGTGGGTTCGTTCTTTGATGTTCCTTTTTCGTATATGCGATGGTAAACCCTTTCTTGTTTGCGATTATCCTAAACGCAGGTTTACAAGCATGAAAGAAAACCGTTGTAAGGCTCTTTGTTAGGGGTGATACTTTATACTGCGTAGAGAGTATTACGCATCCAATTTGTTGAATGTATTGTAAAAGAATGTGTATACAAAATATATCATTAATCATTATGTTTGAGTATTCAGTTAATGGTTCAGGCCGATGTGCTGTACAGTCGACAACAAACCAATGGCCTAATTGTCTATTTTCAAAATCTATCGGAATCTCTTTGAAAGGTATAGCAGTTGGGATATCGATTTTTGGAATTACGTGACGTTTAAAATCGCAATCTTTCGGAACAAATGATAAGGACTTGATAAGACTTTGTAACTCAATCTTAAAGTAAT